GATCTTCCTATAGTATGAATTCGAGACTCCCCTTATACCATACCTGCCGTTATTAGGGCGAAAAACGTCCTGGATAGTTCACAATGAGGGACCAGAGACTGTATCATGTGAATGCCACACCCCTAGTGGACGAGTTTCAACGGCTCTGTAGAGGCTGCACTATCTCAAGAGATTCCCATGTAGGAAGTTCAAACAACTTGTCATAACTCATAGCGACAACGATAGGCAATTCTGGACAGTTATGGTTTGATCTAGTCAGCTCTTTTCAACCTAAAAGAGGTACCTCAAAGTTACCGTGAACTGTGCCTTAAGATTGCTAAGGCGCCCTTCGCAATGAAGCGTTAGGACGCCGACGATGAATAGAACGGTTACGTGGGAGATTCCCACAGGGAGAACTATGTCGTCAGCACTATGAATGTGCCCAGTAAATGTTTTTTCATTTTTTGATTTCTGTAGCTAGCTTTTTACGCTATTGGTAGCTAGCTCTTTACGTTATTGGGGCAGCTGATGTCTCGTCCAGATACCCCTCGTTTGCCCCTTTTGTCGTTATTATCTCGCACAATCTTTTTACTACTTTAGAATCAGACATAACAATTTATTATATTTATTTACACAAAACGTCACAATATGGAAATGAAGACTTACAGGCACACATATGGTTTCTAGAGCGATCAAAACTTTATACCCTAGTAAAAAATGACGTCACAACTTTTTTCACTATTCTTAAAAATAGAATACTGCGGAGCAGAATAAAGGAGATTTCAGAAGACGAGCTTGAAAATTGGAAAATGAACATGTTAAACGAAAATTTGATGGAAAATATGCAGAAATGGAGTCATATTCTTATAAAATTCAAATAGACGAAATGGTGGAAATTGGACGAACAGAGGACGCGAGTTCCCAAGAGAGCAGCAATCTGTAATAGATCAGATTCAGTAAACCATGCATACGAACACCGCCAATCAAGCTCTCTTCTGCTGATAAGGTGCATGCAATGACCAGAAACTTAGAAACTTTCAACTTAAACCGCATTTACACTGGGCAAGGATGCAGACGATTTCAATCGCATGCTACGATCTTTACCAAAGAAGCTGGTACTCTTATGGAAAGAACGGGATTTATTTAGTTATTCCTGGTGACATCTAATTTACCGATAACTTCAATAAGTGTAGTGAACGACTTCTTTACGAGGAGAATCCACGATAAAAAGGTTACTGAGATTTCTCCCCAAGATGAACTTATGATCCCCCAGGATAGCACAAAGGATGGTGTCGAATCGAAAAACGTCCTAGATAGGGAGTAATAAATGCCCTAAATCTAGCTTAGACGACTTATCGCAGTGCTGTAGAGGCTGTAGAGATTGCACCATTTGCATTGGTGACCCACACCTTCCACACAAGCAGCTTACTGTACTGCCAGTTGTGCGTGATGATATTCTCATTTGAACAGCTCGTCCAAAGGCCCTTTCCATGCAACTTTTGTCGGCACACTCTCGTCCCCTAATTTTACTTTTTTGAAGGCTTATACTCGTTTTAGTATTCCAATTTTCGCGTTTTATTCTGTACTACTCTAGACTATCACTTCCATTACTCTACTAAAGCTAGATACACCGAAATTATCGCGAAAACGGCTTTGAAAGGTAAAACGCCTCTGGCGCGAACAAACTAAGACAGCTATCAGTACTAGCTGTCTATTTAATACTATTAGTGGTAGTATTCATAGTAGGCGGCCTGTTACTGCATGCTAGAAGATGAAATTGCTTCTTCAGTTACGTAATATTCTGACAAGGAACCACTGATTGTGCTACTTGCAGCATATTTAGCACTCATACCTCATAGTTGACACTGAGGCGGAGGGATAAAATGAAAGTATGCTTCGAGTCGAAACACAAAATCTGTAGCACACCATTACCATTTATTTACCATTGCGGCGTGAAGGTACGCTCAGCACGTTCGAATTGAGAAATGATTTGAGTGAGTTTTCTGCGAATCTTCTTTTGGTCGTCAGCGGTACATTCAATTAGCTGAAAAGATACGAAGTATGTTGCAAATTCATTGACCACCTGAAGGCATAGCTGCATTGAGGTATAGGTGGAGTGGGCTCGAACGCACGGAGGCGCTATCTTCCGAGCCCCAAGTTCACCACGGCCCGGCTTTCCCATATTTCAAAACGAGTGCCGCTTCTTTTTTTCCTCTCCATTCGATGTATGCTAACAAAGCTAGCAAGCTGGACTTACCTGAGCTTGAAATCTCTGATCGATTGGGCCATCAGGTTGGTCGGGATTGCAGGCATTCAGATAACGACGACATGCCTTAATTAAAAGTATTCATTACTGTAACCAAACTAAAGCAATGTGAGTTGCAACAAACAACAACAACAACAACAACACCAGAACTTTTAAACAATGTGGGTAGTAGTAGAAATAGGTTTTATGGGGTGAATGTATTGTGTAGATATATCTTAAAAGAAGAAAAAAGGAGGAAAAGAAGCAATGAGAAGTAATTATTGCAAACGAAGGAGTCTCCCCTGATTTTGAAGGCAAACAATCTTTGTCATTGTTTCTGTGAATCTGCCATGAGAGGGAGTAGTCCCTTGGAAGTCTCACCAAGTTTTGATTTGATGTTTTTGTTAACCGCAGTACGCGATGCGAAAGTCTCACAAGGTTGGCGAAATGTGGCCAAAAGTTCGGCCTCTGACGGGAGTTGACTTTCCGAGCACCGTGCTCTTGATGCCTTGCGCTAAACCCCGCTCGCACTCACCTTCTTAATGATCTCGGTAATGTAAGGAGTAAAGCACACGGTGCGCGGGAGGCACAAGTATGGATTTGAGGACCACCCGAGACTTAAGTTCTGCCCAAAACCGTGAGTCTTGACACA